GCAGAAACATCACCATAGACATTGGTGATTCTTTCCACAGTAGAAACTAAAGACAGTGGGAAACTGTATCTTCCAATTTTTTTGTGCTCCCCATCAAAGCATACCATAAAGTCGGAGAAATCATTGCTGCTTGCAACATCATCATCAATTTTCTTTAGAAATTCACTCATGGTGCTTTTCTGGATGGTCTGAGAATTCTTTGGATTTTTCACTTCGTTAGACAACGGATTGTCTAATTCATTAAGTGCCAAACCATTCATTACATCCAGCTGAAATAAATAATTTTGGGATATACATTCATAAGTCTGGAGTTATAAGAAAAATATTATAATTAAGTAAAAAAAAACATGTATGTGATAACATTAATAAACATGTAAAGATAATATTCAAGTAGAAATATCTAAAAGATACTCTCAAAAGTAATGATAATCTTTTCAAATTTCTCAAAACAAATGCATTCAACACAATTATAATTATATAAGCCCGCGCATTGTTGATCCTTCAAATTATAATTAAGAAACAGAATTACCATCAATAAAATCACACGATATATATATATATATATGATAGCATGTTAAATCCTGATTTCTTCTTGTTTCTTTTTTCTACATACTACAGTTTTGGGGCTTGATGGAGGTTTCAATTTTGTCATTAACTTGACTCACATTTGATCTCCTTTATATGGTGATTTTTGGTTCCTGAATATCATTCAAAGTCCAATTTTCAAATTTGTGGTTTAATTTCTCAAGTGCGCATTTTATATTTAATGTGAATAATTAACGAAATAGTGAATTTCTTACATGCATAGATGTATTAAATTATAAATTTGTTATTTTTAACATGAGTATATTTGTTCTCATAGATTTGTCAATTCTGATTTGATCAAAAAATTCATTCAACTCACTTGAATTCGACTCAACTCAATTTTGACTATAAAAAATAATAACCTGAACCCCGTCTAATTTGAATCAAAAATAATCTGAAGCTGAAAATAACTCGAACTGAAATGATCCAATCCAAATGATACAAAATTAATTCAAAAATAATTCGACATTAAATTAAGTATAATTTTATTTTAAAACATTAATTTAATAAAATAATACAAATAAATATAATAAATATAATATAAATGATAACTTTAAAAGTTATTGAAATATTAAATTAATATATATTTGTAATATCAAAATAATATAATTTTTATATATGTTATGTTATTTATAATTTTTTTTATAATTTATAATATGATTTAAAATAAATTATATATTTTTAATTTTCATAGGTATATATATCAATATATCATTTAGAATAAATTATATAATCTTTTATAATTATACATAAGTATCAACTATCATATGAATTAAAATAAATTAAAAATATATAAAACAAAGCCATTGATTTTTGTATATATATCATGTTTATATTATAATTATATTATGAATTTTTAATCATGTAACTTAAAGTAAATTATCTACTGAGTTACAATTAATAAAATTCAAAATAATAAGCTATTGAATAATGAGGTACAATTATACTAAAGTCATTATTTATATTGTAACTATATTATTAAAATTAAAAATAATTGCATATTAAATGTGCATTATAAATAAATATTTAAAATAATTTTACATGATTATATTAAATATGTAATTGTGTATTATAATTAAAACATTAAAATAATTTTTATATATTTATATTAAATTAAAATAAATATAAAAAACTATTAACCGTATCAAATGTGACAAATATGTTTCCTATGTTTATTATATGTAATCATATAACACAGTTTAATTAAATATATTTTTTGTGTCTTACATTTATTGACATACTAAATATAAAAAATATATTTCTAAAACTCATATACATTTTTTTCGTATCGTTTTAATATAATTTCATTGTATCATATTTAAATTTGTCAAAATATAATCAAATCATATTTTTTAATTTATATACAAATTAAATTAATTTAAAAAGATACAAATTACTATATTTATATTTATTTTTAATTTTTTATCTTTTAATAAAAACCATACTTTTAATTTTACTAATTTCATCTCAACTTTGACCATTAATCATTGTGTTGCGTGTCACCATTTGTCCTTTCCTCTGCTTTTTTAATCATTATAATTGTGTGAAGAAAGACAGAGTTGGTTAAAGAGTTTGATCTTAAAAGAAAGAGTAGTTAATGGTAAGACAAAAAAAATTTGATAGAATAAAAAAAAAATTTAAACCCTTCTTTGATTTTTTTGGGTTGCCACGATAATTTCTCACTTTTTGGTATCATCGATCACCAAAGGATTTTTTTCTACAGGCTTAAGTTTTAGCAATTCGCAACAGTCATTAAGGAGTTGATCGATTGTAACCCATTAAAGAAAGGTACCCAATTTAGTTTCCCAAACTTTTGTTGGGTATTTTCGATCGATCCAACCTTTGGATTCGTTTTTTACTCATTTTTAATGAAAAATATTTAGGATCTTACTTTAGCTTTTCTTTTTTGTATTTGTAAAAGAAAAATGATCTAAGTGATAATTTTAGTTTTCTATTTGATTTTGGTTTTTTTTTTTAATTAATAGTAATATTTTTGAAAATATTGATGAAATGGCAGGTTGCCTTAGCCGTTAAAGGTAATAGTTTTAAAAACAATGATATTTTCATAATGATATTATGATTTGAAGCAAAGGAGAGAATATCTCTGTTGTATCTTAAGTGGTAATAATACCTGACTTTAACTTCTGAAGATGATACTTAAACATTTAAACGTTGAACCAATAAGTTATATTTCCTAAATTTTGTATAGTCATTATTCTATGTTGCGAAATGGGAAGCTAGAACTACACCTGCTTCTCTAATGTATTTATTTAATTGTTTATATGTTACTCAAAAGTGTACTTAAAACTTTATACTTAGTATATCATGGAATTACTACAATAAGTAAATATTTAGGACGAAAGATTAGCTTAACTTTTTCTTATTTTTTAGCTTCCATTGTTTGACACGAAGAGTAACATGGCTGTGATGGTTATATGACAGGGAGGAGCAATCAAGGATAGACATGACATCTATATTTTACGTGCTATTCGTATCACGTAAAAAGTTAATATTTTATTTAAGGCAATGAATCTGTTTATTATGTTCTATACTGGTTGAGCAATTTAGTTCCTGAAACAAAAAAACGATGTATAACAATCATGAAAATTATCTAAAAATGTTAGAACATATACGGCTAGCTCCTGCTTACGGTAAAGGTTTATAATGTGAACTTACTTAAATTGATCCTTATTTTAAAATCAAAAATTTAAACTAAATAAACTTAATTAAAATTTTGAAAAAAATTTATTTAATACATGCTTTTAAATTTTATTATTTTTTGTACTAACTAAATAATATATTTTTCAAAGTGTAAACAAATTTTTCTTTATATTTTTTTATTTCTCAAATCAAAATGTTCTTTAAACATTATTTATTTGAACTTAAATAAAAGTCCAATTATTACTTTTAAAGTAAACTTATTCATTTTAAACTCAATACAATTTTAATAATATTGATTTTGAGAAATAGATTAACTTATAAAAGTTGTTTTACTAGAATAAAATTTTTTAATATTGAACTTATTTTATTTTTTTTGTATTAATTCATAAAATTTTAATATTTAAATTTTATACTATTGGAATGCTCTTTGAATCTACTTTCTAATGGATCAAACAAAATTAAAATCCAAATTTTCTAAGAAAAAATTTTGAATTTTTACTAAACACTATATGATTGTCTAAAAACTGTACAAGAGATAGTTTTGAAAATTCACTATAATTTGAATACAATGAATTAGATGATGAACTTTCTATGAATAAAAAGTCCTTTAAGTCTAGTTTCTAAATGTTCAATCAGTTTTTTATTTAAACTCGTATAACTTAAGATATAATCAAATTAGTGAGTAGACTACAAAACAAGCGACAACTAATGGCACTATTCATCTAGAATAATTCAGCATCCAAATCTAGCTGACCCAATCGATCGGGTACCAAAACCAATCGATCCCTCAACTGTAACGATAAAAAACTTAGTGAAATTCAAGAACCAGTCGATTCCTTATCAAAACCAATCAATCCTTTCATCCCAAACAAGCTCCGACGGCTAGTTTCAAAAGAAAAAAATCATGTGTTTTCATTTCCCAAGCTTCTCTAACGGCTAGTTTCTCAATTCCTCTATAAATTGAGAATTTCAACATACCAAGAAGGTTAAAGAAACAAGAAAGCAAGCACTAACAAGTCATATTTTCATTCTCTTAAAAAAATCAAGAGTTTTAGAGTCAAAAGTCCATATTTGTTGTATCCAAGCCATCTGTGTTGTATTAATTCATCAATATCCTTGTGCTTCATTAGGCAAACACTTAGCCTTTGATAGGTTTTCTAGTTTACATTTCAATTGAGTGATTTTATAATCAAGAGGTTGTTATGAAAATGGGGTTCAGCCCTATGTAATTGGTTTTGAACCAATCAAAGGCTATGGCTTTGATCTTTCTTTTTACACAAAACCCTAGCTACTTAATAAAAAGATGTGAGACTATTTTAAGGTGGAGTCACAAAAGCCAAGAAGAGAAAGAAGAAAAGCCAAAAAAAATAGAGAGAAAAAAAAGAAAGAAAAATTGGATGAATAGAAGTCGATCCGTGTTTCGATTGAGCTGAAGCTTTATCAACAGGTTTATGATTTAGAGTTTTACATTTTGAACGGTGAAGATTGAGTTTGAAGCTCTCTAGGAACAAGTTCAGTGTGTATTTGTTGAGTTACCTATTTGGTAAAAATTTTTCAATTATCTCTCTAGTTGTTGATTAGCTCTAATTTTAGCTAAAGAAAAATTTTGTATATCTATTATTTGATAGTAAAAATTTTTCTGATAGTCTGTGATTTTTCTTTCTATATTGGAAGATTTTTCATGTAAATCTTGATATACTTTATTTTTTTTCATTTTGTATTGTTGATTGTTGCCTATTGCTGTGGGTTTATTGTGATATATTGCTTCTGAATTGTTGTGTTTATTGCTTCAGGCTTAACAAGTGATATCAAAGCGAAGGTTATTTTGAGATAACGATACAGAAGTAGCCTAAGACAAAAGTAAATTCTGTTTGAGATCATGAAAAGTGATACAAATTTCATAATAAAATTGATAGCATCAAATTATTCAATTTAGAACCCTTTGATGGAAGATCATTTATACTGCAAAGATTTGTATGAGCCGGTATCGAGTAATTCGGCTAAACTAGCAAATATGAAAGAT